ACACGTTGCTCTTTGACCCATTACGCCATCTTGTTTCACTTGTAGTGTTAATCTGGGCATTGTAAACTGGTTTTGGTGGATGGACTGAACATCGTTCCTTTACATGCGGATTAGAATAAAATCGCTCACCAGCAACACATATGCTTGTCGTAAGAGGATCGGGTGATCAGGTTTGCGGACTTGGTTGACAGATGTCATCGCATCGATGCTCGTGCTATTGATCACTGGATACTCGATTATATACAGACAACCGTCATACAGCTGGGATATTGCTGAGTGCAGTGATACACAACAACCAAACTAACCTTATAAAACATTGTTAGAAGACAGCTACATTTTAACTTTAAACTCAAATTCCACTGATCTGGGTGCCGAAGAACATACATAAGGCAACAAATTGTTATCTTGCGTTTTGCCTCTTGATTCTCTACCATTTTACACCATGTCATAATTTCAGTTTGGTAACGTTTCTTTTGCTCGTCAGTATATATAAAGGAAAGGACACTTCCACAGCAGTAGATCTATACATTGACGGAAAGCTGTTAGTAATCCACGCACACGCTTCACCATGTCTCTGTAATCGCTCAAGGAAGCTTGGAGTCAGCCCTTTGATCAAGAAACAGTTGGCGAGGCTGGATCGATGAGAGACAAGCGGGACTGTCGTAAGTGACGTTCGTGGGGGCGGCTGAGCTGAGCTAAATGCCTTCATTGTAGGTAAATGTCACTATTATGTCCACGTAGCTACTATTAACCCGCGGGATAATACCAATTGGGTTGGTAATAAGGTAAGGCAGGGGGCTTCGTTTGTCAATGGATGTTTCTGTCTGGAAATGTGAACGATATCTATTTTTCTTTATAAGAGAGATGGACGGTGTACAAATATAATTCAGTAGTCAGCTTAATGTGACACATATGTCATAACAGGCATGTCACAGACGTTGTTATTTCCTTCATCTCGATTTGATCGCAGGCCTAGTGGAGTCTAAAAGTATGGGATACCGTATTCGCCGTAATAATCGCTCGGACAGCTGATTTGTTAACACCTCATCTGTTATCGAGATCAAGAGTAGGGATTAAAACCTCTCCATTCTACGGGGTCAGTAAGGTATGTGGTTTATCTGTGCCAACCTTAATTTCACTGACTACAGCGAAAATGTGTGTGGTGTGCGTGTTTGTGTCTCTCTCTCTCTCTCTCTCTCTCTCTCTCTCTCTCTCTCTCTCTCTCTCTCTCTCTCTCTCTCTCTCTCTCTCTCTCTCTCTCTCTCTCTCTCTCTCTCTCTCTCTCTCTCCTCTCTCTCTCTCTCTCTCTCTCTCTCTCTCTCTCTCTCTCTCTCTCTCTTGGTCTTGCGTGCCTGTGTAACACAGCCCCATTGTTAATGGATAGGCTGCAGAAAATGCTGAAACAATATCAACCTACGTGTTTTCCAGTCATTACCTGTCAAAAGGTTTTAACAAAACAGTAATTGAAAGCTAGTCAAAGGATATTATATATAATTTTGTGATAAAATCTAGGAAAAATAGATTTAACAAAACAATCCTGTTAGGCATTAGGTGGAGTTGTCAGTCCCCATAATGCCCGGATGTTATCAAAGAGGGAAATATGAAAGATACGGCGTCGCACTGGGATCATTATCATTCATATTGTGTAAATATCACGCAAAAGGACTAAAAAGAGTTTTGTGAGAGTTCTTGAGGAAAAATATGTTCATAATATTACGTAATTCTTAAAATAACGGATTTTAAAGGCGTATTCTGCTCAAAGAAGTCTTCAGATTGAGTGAGTGAATATAGTTTAACGCCTCTTTTAGCACTATTTTATATCACTGCTGGGGACACCCAAACTGGGCCTCACACTTTGCAGCCATATGAGGAATCGAGCCCGGGTGTTTGGCGTGACGAACGCTTTAACCACTAGGCTAGTCCACCAGCCCTGAGTCTTTAGAGACAACGCATGGATACAATGTTTGGTTAAAAGTTACTTGATTGGGTTTTGTGAGTGTCCTGGTGGATAGCATTGTTTTTAATATCACTAAATTGTTGAAATACGGATGTTTAAAACGTTTTCAGTGCAATGAAGTACTTAGATTGAGGGAGTAGTAGTTTATTTTATTCTTTCAGTATGGAGATTCAAAATAGTTCCTGTATGGCATAGCTCTCGAACGCCGCTACCAAATGTATCACCGTTAAATGTAAATGTGTTTGGTTTATTTTGTTATGTTTTGTTATGTTTTGTTTTGTTTTGTTTTATGTCTTTGGCGTTTTTGTTTGGTTGTGTTTGTTTTTTGTTGTTGCTTTGGTAGAGTTTTGTTTTGTTCTGGGTTTGGTTTTGCTCATGTTTGTTTTTTGTGGGGTTTTTTTATTGGGGGGGTTGCTGTATTTGTTTTGTTTGGTTTTGTTTGTTTTTGTTTTGTTGTTGTTTTTTTGTTGGTCTACTTTTGTGTTGGTTTTGTGGGTTTATTTTGTTTTGTTGTTGTTGTTTGTTGTTTGGGTTTTGTTTTTTGGGGTGGGGTTCTTTGGGTGTCGCGTGTAGAGGCCTTGAAGCTGACAACGACAGAGTGTGACAAGTATCCACAACCAACTCTCGACGAGGTGTTTTTCATCAGCACTAGGTATGTTTCCTTTTCGCTGTTTTCGAGATACAGAAAACAGATATGTTGGTGTGAATGCTTCTCCACTTTTTTCCAGAGGCTAGAAAGGCTCGGAGCCGATTGGCTGATTACAAACGTGACATGACGAAACTTCCAGATCTTGACGTAGTGATGGTCCTATCGGAGTAAAGGTTCTGATTGGTCTGAGAATTCTCAGTCATAAAATCAATGATGTATAATCAATGTTGAGCAACCGACGATATCCAGAACGTCATCCCAGTTATATCACGATGTGTCCGGTTGATGTGGGAGGGAGACCCGAAGTCCTGCAGGTCTAAGACGCCTACCACTTTGGTGAAACCGCCGTGAACGAATATGATGCTGACACACGTAAAACATGCTCACGGTGCTTATAAGTTACTATCACCGGATCCTGGCACACCTAAGATAAACTCACGGTGATTATAAGTTACTATCACCGGATCCTGGCACACCTAAGATAAACTCACGGTGATTATAAGTTACTATCACCGGATCCTGGCACACCTAAGATAAACTCACGGTGATTATAAGTTACTATCACCGGATCCTGGCACACCTAAGATAAACTCACGGTGATTATAAGTTACTATCACCGGATCCTGTCACACCTAAGATAAACTCACGGTGATTATAAGTTACTATCACCCGGATCCTGGCACACCTAAGATAAACTCACGGTGATTATAAGTTACTATCACCGTCACACCTAAGATAAACTAGCACCTAAATTATAAGTTACTCACGGGATTATAAGATAAACTCACGGTGATTATAAGTTACTATCACCCGGATCCTGGCACACCTAAGATAAACTCACGGTGATTATAAGTTACTATCACCGGATCCTGGCACACCTAAGATAAACTCACGGTGATTATAAGTTACTATCACCGGATCCTGGCACACCTAAGATAAACTCACGGTGATTATAAGTTACTATCACCGGATCCTGACACATAAAACACACGGTGATTATAAGCCAGTATCACCGGATCCTGACACACCTAAAACTCACGGTGATTATAAGTCACTATCACCGGATCCTGGCACACCTAAAACACACTCACGGTTATAATAAGTCACTATCACCGGATCCTGACACACACTGGGGACGCAACCCTGCACATGCAAGTGTGGCGCCTATTATTGGATCAGCCATACCCTTTGACTTCAAGAATAGAACAGGTGCAATAACTGCCAGAATAAGACAAAAGAAGAAATAAACGAATGATATTTTACTACGTTACCTTGATATTTAGCTATATTCCATGATCGAAACTTTGTTGTAGTGATGGTTGGAACAGAACAAGCCACTTCAGTCGAAAGATAAAAATGACCGATGGTTCATGATCTCAAACGACAAAGATCCAGGTTAGAATTGTGCCTCTACAACCCATGTTGTTAGTAAATGGAAACCGTTGTCTTGGTAGATGCATGTCATTGTACACAAGTAACCATGGTGATGCTCATGGTGCCAATCATTTGATTGTCTGGTCCAGATTCGATTCTGTACAGGCCGCCGTCACCTAGTCCGACTCTCTCACCGCACCGTTGCAAACAAATCAACAAACAAAATCAGAGATAGAAAACATCACGTAAGCCGTTTATTTCAATGTCAGTGAGTGATTACAAAGATGTTTTCTCCGATTCGGCATTATAGGAGCATGGGTCTCCAGTAATGGGCTCAACATATTTCCCCCGTGGGAATCGAACCCGGTCTTTGGCGTCAGGATCCAATACATAACGAATGGGTTCCTGTCTCTGTTACATAATGGAACGTCGCTAAGGATGACGGATGACCTCAGTGACAAAAACATGCAGGTTCTTTGAAGCACATGGTCGAAAGTGACAGCACTGCTTTGAAAGGGAAGGGCCGTCAACAGTACCGAGAACCCATTAGGAAAGACCGCTTATAGATATAAACAGCATGGAGAGTCAAAGGGTTGAAACGTCATTCATGTGACTTTAAGACGGTGGTGTGGGCTTGATTCAAACCTCTGATCAGATGAACGGCGCTTGTACGCTGATTACAAACACGACCAGAGTGGAACTCGTCATGATTAAGATTAACATTCAGTTCCAAAAACATATGAACTTTTTGGGAAAATATATCTACACAATAGGAAATACAGTTCCAGCAGAGCCTATAATAATGCATGATTAAATTGCTAATTTATGCAGATTTGCATTCCTCTTTATACGTATTCACTTATGTCTGTGAGACAGAGGAGCGGCGGTGTAGCCTAGTGGTTAAAGCGTTCGCTCGTCACGCTGAAGACCCGGGTTCGATTCCCCACATGGGTACAATGTGTTAAGCCCATTTCTGGTGTCCCCGCCGTGATATCCTGGTTCCCGGGCCTCTCATTGGTTTTGTATAGAGGCCCTGGTATTGGCCATGTAATGGCGGCGCACACTGGATAGATTCAAGATGGCGGACGAGGTAAGTTTACTATGGAACTGACCGATTTCTAATACTTCTAGCTGCGACATTCACGACACTTGGCTCAGTAATGCAGAATGAAATTAGTATCTGAATCCCGGTAGCAAATAAATTATTAGAACAAAGAGGTTTGTCTCCATAACTCCATGTTGTAAACACAACGTGCACGTTTTAGTGCCTCACATTACATGATTTTGCATACACGGACGACGGGATGAATATCAAACTATTTATTAATAAAACCATAGCTATCTACCTTATTACACCTTTTGGCATTGTTGAATCGCGTTTTACAACTACAGAAAATAGAAAAAATCGTCTCCAATCTTTGCCAATAGTGCGCTGTCCCTACCTGATACCCTAGTAGCAGCACAAGGTATAACACCTGGAATTTTCTTACTTTGTTACTGTTCATTTCAAAATATATGCATAGATAATAAATTTTGTAATATGGTCACTTCAGAAATGGATGTTTTAATTTATTTATGTATTTTTTCAACTTTATTTCATGAAAAATCTATTTTTTTTCAGTTCAGTCTCAGCCTTCATAGCTATGCCAAAGATGCTGGCAGGAAACATCCAGAAAATGAAAACAGAATGCCATCATTTCATCTTTGGCATAGCTATGCTGCTTCCAATTACAAAGAGAATTAGGTCATCGCCAACAGGGCTCACACCTTATTCAAAGGAAAAGAGACTGGCTGTAAGTAAACATGAAGTATATTCATCCATACCAAAGGGTATACAGATTGTATACATATGTATTTAACTTACACCATTTTGTTATATAGTTTTCATTAACATAATTGTATATGCATAATTTGAAAATTGTTGTCTCAACACTGTATTTCCTATTGGGCCTCTTTTGATAACATCCCTTTTTTTCTAGCTGGCACCACTGACACAGGAACCAATAAGTGATCAACCAGAAAAAAAGCACAAGAAAAAAATGGAGCAATGATGAAAATACCTTTCTGCTAGAACAAGCAGCAAGCTCAAAAGTGCACAGCAATATACTTTGGAATGACTGTGCCAAAAGACTCAAAGAAAAACTATCAACTTCACGTTCAGGTAACTTAGTATCCTATAATATTAAGTCTAATGTAACAAGGACTTAACCAGGAGTTAACAATGTATTTATTTGCTTGGCCATTATATTCAGTTATAGGTATAGATTCACTCATTGATGATTAATTTGAACAATTGCATTGTGTTAGTTCACCACAAAATATAAATATACATGTACATGTATATTATATTACAGGAGAATCTTGCAGACTTCGGTACAAAAGGATTCGATCGAGAACTGGTCATTCAGGTGATAAATCTATGACAATTTATGTCATATATACATTTTCCAGTAGATAAATGTTTGTTTACAAGATTATCTATTTACATCAGCAGTCCACTCCTTTTCCTAGATTGATGCGCCAGTTCATAACTTAGCCAAATGCCTCCACTTAAAAGATGTATGTTATGTACCATGTGTACAGACTGATAGTTAATAAGTAATCTAGTTACATGCATGATTGTCCGAGATTTAAATAACTATATTAAGGGTATGTATTCAGCTGGAGTTTACATTTGTAGTATGTTTCTTATCAAATCTGCAATAAACAAATTGGTAAACCAGTATGCTGTTGAATATAATACATTTGCACAACCACCACAAAGCAGTGTTAATTACTCAATCCTGAAAATACCCGGGAAGGTCCGGGTTAGAAGGTGCCTTCAGTAACCCATGCAGGTCGTAAGAGGCGACTAACAGTATCGGTTAGACTGGCTGACTTGGTTGACATATGTCATGGTTCCCAATTGCGCAGATCAATGCTCATGCACTTGATCACTGGATTGTCTGGTCCAGACTTTATTATTTACACACCAATGCCATATAGCTGGAATATTGCCGAGTGCAGCGTGAAATTAAACTCACTCACTCACTCAATCCTGAAAATCCTGTTTCCATTCAGAATCTGCCTTTACATTCGAAATAGAGGGTGTAAGTAATCAGAACCAGACAATGGATGCAAGCTGTCAGACAGACTTGTCAGTACCACCTGAAAGGTATAGTGGTATAAGTTTATCATGCATGATATTGAAATTTGTGGGTAAAACTAAACTTTACACATGTAGTAAGTAGCATATGGGTATTACTTTAAATTCACTTTTTTAACTTGGTCCAGCAAGCTGGATGCCCTTGGTTTCCTGCACTACATTGTGCACTGCAGGGGAGCCATAAATCCAGGTTAATCATTTTAATGGAACAGTTGAAACTATTTTATTAATTCTGTATGTCTTGTGATATATAGCATGAATTCTATAGCACAGTGGATGCAGGAAATAAAATTTGTGAAATGTCACTTACTTTTTTGTCTAAGTTTTGCTGTTGATTATTTCAGTTATACACTTTAAAAGAATAGATGGCTTTATGTGCAGGTCAAGGTCCGACGACAAAGCAGTTTCACCTACCAAGAGCATCGCTGGAGGGAAACAGGGAAAACATGGAAAGATATCTCGCCCTGCAGAGATTTTACGCCATGAATTGGAAAAAGGTTATGAAACAGCCAGTTCTGAATACATTGTCACTGATATTCTTACTGAGATGCTACATACCAACTCCACTGAAGATCTGTCACATGTGATATTCTGCAATCAGACACTGAAGAAATCTTTATGGAAGATGTTCCTTTGTGACATAAGGGAATCATCGAGGAGCATGTGTGAAAAGGGAAAAAGCTACTTATTCCAAAAGGACTATCAGTCACTAAAAACTTCAAGTGGGAAGAGGTCATTAATGAAATGGTTTCGAACAACCCTGAACTTGTTCAAGTGTTGCTAGCTGTTTCAGTACCTAAACGAAAAATGACTGATGTTAAAATGCTGGAGTCTGTTGTAAAGAAATTAGGATTTGTGTATGGAATTCTCATGAAAGCCAGGTGGAAGGACTTGTCAAGAATTCAAAGATTAATTTCCATGGTTATGTGTGATGAGAAAGTTCCTCAAAAAGTAATTAACAATATTTAAAGTTACATATTAAGTTTTGAAAGTTTCTGTTGTTAATATTTGTTGATTGGAACTATTTGTTTTTACACTAACCTCAATTACAAATCAACATTAAAAGTATCAGGTACAGTAACTGTTCCTCATTTCCTATCATTTTGTGAGTTTTGCTTAATCTATTTGAATCATATATGTCATGTACCAGATAACATATTTTATTTCAAGAGTACTTTCATTGAAAAAGTGAATTGAATTCTAGTTTCACAATTGTACTATACAACTACTGTAAACTATGTAAATTTATAATCAACTGAATATATACTTTGTTAATTATCTGTTTTGTTCTTTTATTTTGTTACATGTTTTATGTTAGCATGCAATATCTGTTTAAATTTAAAGAGGGATAATTTTGTAGCAGAGGGAATCATGTTGAGTCCACTTGCAAAGCTCCCTTCATTAATTAATTGTACAACTACAAGTCAGCTTGATGGCATAAATATGTAATAGCTAGTTCATAGTTTAAACATACAATTTGTATTACTATGACCAACAGTAGAGTCCTAAAACAGACCATAATCCCAATAAGTCAAGAAAAGCTTGGACTTAATTCTTATCTCAGGTGATGTAACTGGAAACATTAAAAATTTACATTCTAATGAGAACACCAATAGTTGAGGTTAAAAATATTTGATAATTGTTAACATTGATAAGTGAAACTAGTTGCTTTTAGCTGAGTATACTTTTAAGAATTATTCTATAAGCCATCTGACAAAATAAGGTGGTTGTGAAAATAATCATTATCATTTCATGTTACCTCACACTTATACCCAATTTTATATCAAAGTTATCCCTGCATGGCGAATGAAGTTTTCATGAAGTTTTAGTTTATGCTGCATAACAGTGATGCTTCTAATTTCTAGTAATGTTTTTTGTGATGATGCAATTTGTTACAGTCAGATTTTCAGTTCTGCTATAACAAATATATAAAGAACTTTTTATTCTAAAAATTCAAACAGTGAATATTCTTCATTATTTCTGAAGTGTTTCAGGCATAAGCCCAGTGGGACTGTACCATTTATAAAACAATAGTTTAGGGGTGTAATATTTCAAATTCCAATTTCACAAAATTCTGAACAAATAAGAATTGGATTATACCTGCAACACTTTGAAAGTATTATCACTTCTGGCTGTTCTAAATTTTAGAGTAATTATGGAGAGCATCATTTCATTAACAAAACTTAGCTCTAGAACCAAAGACTTGTTGGAAAATTTTCAGCAGTCATTAATTCAGCTGAACATATCCATTTTCCAACAAGAACTTTAATACTGTTTTCATGTTCCAGCAGTTTGCTTCTTCAGTTTCTGTTTTCTGCATGCCAACCAAAGACAAGACAAGGTATGAACATGTTATTATTTTTAATATGATTATTTTTCACAAACAGTTTTTGATGTTTAATTCATATACATGTATTGTCATTAATACCTAGACACATTGATCAAACTAAGCCAAAACTACCTACTGTCAATAGATCTTAACATCACCAAATGTTTTTGATTGATGCAACATTCAGGATAATAACCCAACGCAATTCCCACTTTTGACAATTCTTTCATTGAATTTTTGCAGATCTATGATCGCCTTCAGCCCCTGGGTGTCTGTGTCTCCTACAGTGTGACCACCACTGTGTTAGACACTATCAGTGGACACTTTGAGACAGAACTGATTGATTCCTTGAAACAGGGCAAGCGATTTAGACTTGTTGGTGACAATATCAACTTCTCAGTGGATATCAGTCATTTAAGAGAGTCAAAGAAGAAACATATGGAACACTGGTTTGGCTCGGCTGCACTGATTCAAAACACCTCTTTTGGACACCTCCCTACAGTAGTACCACAGTGTAATATCTTGACTTTAACATGGGACACATTCTTGCCACAGACTGATGACTGGAATCGGATTCGACAAGACTACTCCATACTTGTTATGAGGGTACTCGTCAAGCACATGCCAGTTTTCAAGATATTGTCCAGTTCTTTGCCAAAGTACCTATCCTGCAACCAATCAGATGAGATGAAAAAGCGGACCAAGGTTATTCCTCTTCCTGTCATGACCAAAAAATTAACAAAGGTACAGTGAAGTCATTGATGTTCTTGATGCCTATGAGGATCTTGTGAAAGATGTATATGAGAAGGCAAACATCCCTCTTACCAATGATGACCGCATACACATTGGTGGAGATCAACTGACTCGAGAAAGATTTTCTGGTGCCAAACGTCTGAGAGGGGTATTGGTCCACCAGGTCCAAACAAGTTCCTCCATCTCAGCCCAATAACATTTGAATTCTTCCACCTACAGATGGCCTTGCTGACTATTTTGTACAAATGTCTCTATAATGAAAAGAGCACTGAAATAGGTACTCTTGGAGCAGAACGAATCAGACTAGGACGTAAGAGAGCTGATGGGAGCAATGTAAAAAGTCACTTTGAGGATTGTAAAGAACTTGCGGTATCACTTGTTGACATGTACATTCTGGAGGCAGCTTGTCATTTCTTTGGTATGGACAAACTTGATGGTGTCCCAACACGACCAGTTCCTCAGTTTGGAGAAATGACACCTGATGACCAGCTCATATGGATTCAGGACAACATTGGTGAAATGGTGAACACACTTGTGTGGCCATTTGCTAAAGAAACTATTGATGATATGCAGAAACCAAAAGCTACTCACCACATGGTAACACTTATGATGCCAAATGGACATCCACAAAACTTTCTAATTCCTGTCCAGGACTCGCAGAAGACAGTGAAAAAGTCACACAACATCAAAGATGGCTGCACAATCTATGCCCATAATTTTCTGGAGCTCGGCCTGTTGTTCAAAGAGTTATCTGATGCAATACACTGCCCAGACAGAATACGTATGATATCCATCTTGAAACTTGCCATGCTTGTTTGCAAAGGCAGCAGCACCAAATCCAAATATGCACTTGAAATACTGAGATTTCTGTGTCATCAGCTTGCTACTTTGAGCGAGAAAGTTGCAAATGAATCTTTTTATGGTTGTTTTGTCAATACTGGAGGAAAAGTGGACACCCATATTGCAGCTGACATGGCAATGGAGCACCTGGTGAGGAATGTCAAAATGCCATATCCAAGCTCTGCATTCCAACAAGTCTGAAAAGACAATCAAAAAAAGAACTGGTGCTTTTGCTGGCTTGTCAACAATCTGTGAAAACTTTGACAGAGAAAGTGATATGATCATAAGGGCACATAAGCACAAGTCTCCTAGTGCTGATAAAGATGAGATGATGTTGTTTGACAATATTCATCGTATGAAGCCTTTTAGTAATCAGAATGGAAGACCTTTGGGGTCACACAGCAGTCTCTCCAACTCACTGATAAGCAAACTCACAAGACATCAACTACAGAGTTGGATCAGTGGACATCAAGTTAATTTCAAACACGAAATTGGCCAGTAAAGTATGTCCACAACTTGGCATTTTGATAGTATCTACTTGTTTGTGTGTAATTGCAGGATGGAAGTAATGATTGTTGACAGTGCTGTCACAACAGAATCATCTAAGTCGAAGGCTGATTTAAGTGTGTCTTTCTTAGCAAACCAGTGAGGCTGGCATACAATCTGTTCAATTGTTGATGTTGATAAAACACCTTTGAGACAACCACTATCATCCTCAGCTATGTAGGAAAGAATTGTGTTCCTTACTGCATCCTTCAGGTTTCTAGAGGATTCATATATGTAGGATGATTTAAGTTCAGGATGACAGATATCACAGCAGACTTCTGCACGAACAGCAGGGAAATCACAGAATCCAAAACTGGAATTCACCATCTTCCTACGACAGACAGTGTTGCTCTTACACAAATCTTTCATTTCCTGTACAACTGCTGGTCTGCCAACATCGGAATTGTTGTAGTACAGAATGGATAATGCCTGTTCCCCAGTTCTACCAAATCTGCTGCACATAAGCTGAAAATAATAACATTAATGCATAAGTGTTGTCTTGAAGTTCATGAGCTTATGTAGATGTAGTTTGATGAGCTTATGATGGATAGTAATTTTACATGTATATGTATATCTTTTTATTACTTCAGCAGTCAAAATAGAAATGAACATAAAATGTATTATTTACACAGAGTGCTCATAATCCAGACAGTGCTCATAATCTAGTTCAGCATTGACATTTATTAGCCTGCGTCATTACTGTTGTGTTCTTTACTCATGTAACACCAGTGTCTTCACTCAGCCAGCCTGCCATAGTCTCCTTCGCTGAACATTGCAGAAGACACATGACATTTAGCCCAATGCAAGAGTCTGCAAGAGTCTCAGTTTTACCTTCCATAGCCTTTGGTGGTCCTATCTGTATAACCCTCCTTACATGCCTGAGGTCAGCACCCATACCCAGGGCCACAGTGGAGAAGACAAGCTTTAATGGGCTGTCACTGGGATCCATGGACAGATTCTTCATTATTGTCTGAGCTGAAAAGACAAAATGCATAACACTAAGTGAGATTAAAATGGTACAAATTTATTTAGAAGTGACAAATTCAAATTGTTGTTACTTGTCAGGATGATTAACTGATGTTTCAAAGTTTTTATTCCTGTGTATGTTGATTTTTCATGTTGAGTAAGTGACAAATGAATTTGATTTTTAATAATGCCAAAACTCATACTTTTTTTTTTTCTTTTACCTGAAATGTACACACTTATGTCAATAATAAATGCAGTGGATAACGATTATGATATTACATCATTTTAAACATGAACTATTGGAGTTTTGTAATATGAAATGCAGAGGTTTAATATGTCTTACCTGATCAGATCCTTTTTCCAGTGAGGCATGATACATTACAACCCTGGCAGAGTCTTCATTGTTAGAATCAACATAGAATTTGGGGCCAAGAATGTTTTTTTGACAGTTCATAACTGACTCCCACCCAATTCTGACTTCCACTGAAATATACTATGGTCAGTGGGAAGTTATGTCCTTTATCAATCAGCTCTAAGATTGAAGGCTCAATGCAGTATTCAACTGAAAATTGAGCTGATTCCTCCCCTGCTGATGTTGCTGCAGGCCTCTTGATTACAATGATAGAAATATTGTCTCTGGCAGGGTATGTAGAGACAACCTTGTGATTCTTTAATGCAAGTAGCTTTGCAATATCATTCTGTCCCTTCAGTGATAGCGTTGCAGTCATTGCGAGTATAGTAGCATGTGGCAGTACTGCTCGCAGCTTATGTAGTCTCTGGAAGCTTGGTCGAAAGCTGTCCCCCCCAGTCTAGAATACATTGGGCCTCATCAATAACAATATAGCT